CTAGAAGAGGCACAAACCTGATGAAGGACTTAAATTTACTAACTTGGGTCAGACCCAACCACAGAAGAGCTGAAGCTGGGTGGTAAACACACACAGGTAGTTATGATAACACCTGAGCACCATGACGTCTGAGACTGATGCATCAGTGTTACAGCGTGACTAAAGACATGATCAGACACAGGTTACAGCTGGATGATCTAGGAAGGTAGAAGATCAGGACGTCTGAGCGGTGAACAGGTGAGCGGACCTTCGGGACGTCCCGCTGTCACGCTAAGAAGGGCACGGCTGCAGATTCACACTTGCAGCCGTAGATATTCATCACGTCTTCCTCGTTCTTCACGGGCCATGATGAAAACATCTACCTCTTTAGCTCTTGATCAGCTCATGACAGCTTCAACACACTGTGCTGCTTAACGCACGCATTTTCTTATCAGTAACAGAAACAACGTTTTGATAAAAGACGACGGTAATTAATTAGATTGCTTGTTACTGAAAAAAAATATTTTGTTTAGTAACACGGTTATTTTAAACGGTGTTATTCCCATCACTGCTCTGTGGTGTCTACAGCAGGCAGTGACTGAGACAGTGAGAACACTGAGGGTCTCCACCCACCCGGCCAATCATCATCGTGCTTGTAAGAGCGTTACCGACACCTCTCTCTCCCTGGCTGCAGCTGAAGTGTGGCGGTCAGAAAGCCTCACACTGTTGCTCAATGTTCGACAAGCACATAGTAACGCAAAACCTTCCGTCCCCAGTAGCGGTGTAGCATCATGAATGTCCTGTTTTTGACCTAAAGGTCATGATCTGCTGCGTCTGCTCGAGCAGAGACATAAAGTCTCTAATACAGGCCTAATCTACATGAGATAGTGACCAAGGTCTTTCATGCACTCTGCTCATCTGAACTGCTTGACCTCTGTTACAGCTCAAGACGAAGACGAAGAACTCTCTTTTGATAGATACATAATCAAACAACTTTGTTATTACAATTATAAGATGAGCCCAATGTTCAATCAATCTGTGAAATGACAATGTTATTACTTGATATTAAAATCCTGTGATCAGTAGTATTTTACAAGTAATTATAATCCTGGGCATTTGCACTAGACACGTGATGACACAGAGTAATGCTAAAGTCACACGACACATTTCCTTTTGTCTGATCCAATCAGAACCTTCGTTTCTGACGCTAGGCGTGGTTATCTGTGGTGTTTGTATAAACCCTCTTTTGCATGTCAAATTCTGATTCGCCCGTAAACCAAAATATGACAATTGTAAAAACTATTCCACGCCACCATTTCTTTAGTTCAAAGCGTTCTAGAGAAGTCTCGGACCGGCCATCCGGACTTCCTCTACAGCCAAAAAGAACCTCGACAAGCTGGATAAAATCTGTTGCACGTTACACCTGACTGCAACGGTTCCTTCAGAATAAAAGCGGAACCTCACGACCCCTTCAGGGTCTCAGAGACGCCAATGAACCTGTCGTGACCTGGAAGCATTTCAAGACTAGTTTTGTCGGCACCGCTGCTTTTCTACCGGCTTCAGTTTCAAGGAGGGTCCAAGAGGACCTCGAGATTCTAGATCTAACGGAGGATTCCCCTGGGTACATAGACAGATGGCGTTTCATGTGTGTTATAAATCTCCTACTAAAGTTTAGAGCGGAACATCCACTCCCACTCAGAACTAAATGTTTCTCCGGATCCGCTGGTTCTGATAATAACATTCCACACACACACACACACCATCATTCACCTCATGTCTCACTCCACCTTAGTCCATCAGTACACAGAGTGTTTAAGTTAGTCTTGTTTAAACTGTGTAGAAATAAATTTCTTAACTATTTTAAACCTGACTCTCTTTCTCTTTCCTTGGAGTTAATACGAAGTGTCAAGTAATCCCTGCAATAAAAAGTTCCGATCTTCTGGTTAAAATATTCAAAGATCCGTCAGATTGATATTTCATATTTCTATGGAATCTCACATTTTATGGTTTATAAGTAAGATGTAAACTACCCATCCTTTACAATGGTAAGGGCGTTGCAACAGTGGGAAAAGTAATTAATTAAATTATTCCGTTACCTAAAAAAGAACGCCGTTATACTTAAAGGTCGTTACTCCCAACACTGCAAATAATGCATCAAAACATCTGTATTTTTCTCTTCTACACTCACCGTCACGCCCACTGCTGTATTTATGGTTTTCGCTCAAATCCCCTCAGAGTGCAGAAAGCTTCCACAAACTTTAGTTAGCTCAAAATATTGTCTTTAAAACTGTATGAGTGGCTTTTTGAAATATATGTAAAACACCGTAAAAACATCAAAGAGATCATTCACTCATGCTTTTAACATATTTGCAGTGGTCTCTAGTAGGAATGCCGTGTACGACGTGTTTAGGAAAGAAAGCCTGTTTGGAGAATTCAGCTGGAGGAGAAAGTAGCTTCGGATGGCAGGATTTGGAGTCTAAAGCACAATTTATAGTTCTCCGTCATCTCCACGAAGGAGAGACATGTACACACGGATGGAGACAATTGATCTCATAATTCTCCGTCTCCTGGGGAGTGTTGCAAAGCAATTCCCCGGCAGGAGAACAGAGGGTGTGGCGCTGTTCTGTGGCATTCGGTCATGTATCCGGTCCAAGTTAGTGCATTTACTATTGTGTTTATTTTGTGTTTTTTGTATTGAAGAGACATTTTAACACGGACAATTAGTCACTCGTCCTCCTCCACCTCTTCATGTGCTCGCCACCTCTAAACCCATGTTTTCCATCATTTCCGTCCACAAATAAAACACTTGCTGCGCATCTTTTCACTCCTCCAGTCACGAGGGAATAAAATGCTCATATTTTTAGAGTTTTACTGCAAGGTATTCTTTAAGCTTCTCCGTATCTGCCGCAAGATATCCTCGGCTCTCTTTACATTTTTGAGGGAGCAAT